AGCAGAGAAATTGAAACATGGCTTGAAGGTGAAATCAATCCCTCCTGGATAGGAAGTTTTTGTTTATGTGTGTTGGGGGGGGAGACTTGGGGGGGGGGCTGTAGAATGGGCAAACCGAATCAATTGAATCCTCAGATTGAATGGATGTAAATAAATAAATAACATTTATGTAGCCACCCGTCTTTCAGCCAACTCTGGACGGCTCCCAGTTAGGGTAAGTAGTTTGACCTGGAATTGTACAGATTATAAAGTCCTTTACGTACCAATGGAAGATAATTTGTAGCTCGGGGTTCAACTGCGGGGTCCTTGGTGCTCTCTGAGCTTGGCTGTTTTCTTGCAGATGTTTCGTGACCAAACTAGGTCACATCATGATGATTGATATTACCTACTTTGGTCATGAAACATCTGCAAGAAAATTACCAATTTCAGAGAGTACCAAGGACCCCGCAGTCTTCCTCCTTCTCCTCTTCCTCCTTTTCTTCTTCCTCCTCCATATCTCCTCCTCCTCCCCTCCCCTCTGCAAACCCCATTCCCACCTAGCACTGACGATGTTGTCTAGTTTGGTAACAAGAGTTTGCAAGAAAACTACTAGGTTTGGAGAGCACCAGAAACCCTACAGTCTTTTACGTTCGAAGTTCAGCCCAGGCCTTTGGCTACATCAGTGTTTCTCAACCTTGACAATTTTAAGGCATGTGGACTTCAACTCCCAGAATTCCACAGCCAGCATTGCTGGCTGTGGAATTCTGGGAGTTGAAGTCCACATGCCTTAAAATTATCAAGGTTGAGAAACACTGGGCTACATTGTTCTTCAAGAAATTAAAGTAGTATTTGGGGACTAGACCAGGGGTAGGCAACCTTGGCTCTTTTATGACTCGTGGACTTCAACTCCCAGAATTCCTGAGCCAGCCATGCTGAGGGGAAAGGGAGAGGTTTCCAAGCTGAGCCATGCTGGCTCAGGAATTCTGGGAGTTGAAGTCCACGAGTCATAAAAGAGCCAAGGTTGCCTACCCCTGGCCTAGACTGTTCTCTCAGAACTTGGAGTGAGATAGATGGAGCCCCTTGGATGTGTTCATTATTTTGGTTTTCTATCCCAGATTGTGCCAACAAGATCTCATCTTGGTTTTGATTTGTAATTTTTTAACATTATTTGGGGGTTGAAGTATTGGTTAGAATCAGGCAGTAGCCAAACTGGATTAAATAGATAAATAAATTCGAAAGCTAGTAGCAGTGATTCTGAGCTAATCTGTAACTTGCCGTAGACTGTAGCCTATCTGAGCGGTTATAATTTTATATTAATTAGATCCCCACATACAGAGGCACATTCATTGACATCTTTTATTTCTGTTTCCTGTATAAACTCACCTTGGGTTATTCCGAGCTGCTTTTTAATTCTGTTGGTTTTTATTTTTATTTTTTTAGTTGATGGAAGTGACTGGGAAGAATCAGGATGACTGCATCGTAGCTCTGCACGATTGTAATGGTGACGTGAACAGAGCAATCAACCTCTTGCTGGAAGGAAGCTCAGATACAGTAAGTGCTCAATTTAGAGTCTTTTAGGTGCTTTAAAAAGTTGCCTTCCTTTAGACTTGGGATGATGTGTGTTTAACCCTGTAATCAGTTCTGGGAAGTCCGGGGGGGGGTGGGGGTGAGAGGGAGGGTAGAAATAGAAATAAAATAATTTTGAGTATTAATGTAGAAATGAGTATTAAATTAGGAGTATTGATGTATGGAGAAATATAGAAGGCACTCGGTTAGCACCCCTAAACCGTGTCCGAAGGTAGGGAGAGGAGAGGAGAGATAGGAGGGAAGTAGGAAGGTAGTGGAAAAGAGGGCGGATGCAGGAAGGGGGTGCTGCCGAGCTGATGCCCGGTTAGCGTCCCTAAATCGTGTCCGAAGGAAGAGGAGAGGGAAGGAGGTGGGATGTATAGGGAGGAAGGAGGAGAAAAGAGGGCGGACGCGGGGAGGGGGGGTTGCCAGGCTGTTTTGCAATATTAATGTTTATGTTTGTATGTTAAAATTAATAATACTAAAGTTGTATTAATGTATGCAGGGGGAATATTTCAAAATTAATAAAACAAAATTTGGGGGAAAAAAAAGTTGCCTTCCTAAAAGATTACTTGTGAGGAAGACTTCCTGCTTTTAGTGAGAAATGTGAAGGCTAAAAAAAAAAATATTAACCATTTCAGGACAAATCTTGCCCAGCTAAGAGCTCAGAAATGTGGAATAATATTTTAATTTTTTTTCCCCATCGCTTTTCTGCAAATATTAAGATTAGTTGTGTTCTCCTGGTCCGGATTTGGTGTGTTTTTTAAACTTTTGCTTATTCGTCAAGAAAGCAAAATTTTTAAAACATCGCAATGAACCGTGCAGGAAACTGAAACACCCAACTCCACCTTGACTTTCTCATCTTTCTGGGTTCTGAAATTTCAGCAATGTGTAACGCATGCACATTCAAGCATACCTGACCCCGACTAAGGACAAAGAGCTTGCTGTAAAAAAAAAAAAAAAAAAGCATATATTTTTACATTACTTAATTATCTGCTCAGTGCCTTCTACTTTGTCCTATTTCTCTCCCCCGTGGAACTGTGCCATCCGTGTGGCTTCCTCTCCCTCCTCCTGTTTATGGTCTAGTACAGTGGTTCTCAACCTTTTTAATGCCGCGACCCCAACCGGTCGTAAGTCGAGGGCTAAACCGGTCGTAAGTCGAGGACTAAACCGGTCGTAAGTCGAGGACTAAACCGGTCGTAAGTCGAGGACTACCCAACTGGTCGTAAGTCGAGGACTTTCCCTGCCCGGGAGTGCCGCGCATGCGTGGTTCCGCCCTCTGCGCCGGCCGAGGCATAGCTGGCAAGCGGCAGAGACAGAGCAGGCCGACCACCAGCTGGCCCAGCCCAAGGGAGGTAAGGCACCCGCCGGAAAAGGGGGAAAAAAATGGCAGACAAAAAAAATGGACAAAAAAAATGGCGGACAGCCTTGCTTGGCGACCCCCGTGAAATGGTCGATCGACCCCAAATGGGGTCCCGACCCACAGGTTGAGAACCACTGGTCTAGTACATGATGGCGAACCTTTTAGAGACCGAGTGCCCAAACTGCAACCCAAAACCCACTTATTTATCGCCGGGTGCCGGGTGGGCGTGGCCCACTGGGTGGGCGTGGCTGTGGTGGTCATGGCAGACTGGATGGGTGTGGCCAAGGTGGGCGTGGTCACCTCAATGTTGCTTGTGGGGAAGGACGCCTGTGGGGGCTGGACAGGGTTGAGGGAAATCCAGGGGGTCTCTGGCAGGTGGGGTGGTGGGCAGGAAGCTCGTCCTGCGGGGTGAGGCGAGGCAAGGTGAGGCAGGGCGGGGGTGCCATTGTCGCAGGGCAAGGCGAGGAAGGGGCCGGGGCGGCGGCTGCCCCCGCACTTAGAGGCCAGCGAGCGCATGGGGGCCGACAGTGTCCATCAACAGCCACAGCCTGCCGGCCCCTCGACCGCCGCACTCTGGGGCTCCGCAGTCCGCTGCCAGCAGTTCAGAGAAGCCGTCTCTGAGCTGGACGGATAGCCGACAGCTGAGGAGGCGATGCAGTGGGTCGTGCCCAGGAAAAGGAGAGCATGTGAGGCCAGGAGGGATGGGACAGAGGGGAGGGAAACCACCCGTGCTGGGATGCATCCGGCCACGTGGGACCTCGGCAAGTTAGCGGGCGGCTGGTTGAAGAGGGACGGTTGCCATCTCCAGGGCATGGCGCGTGTGCCCACAGAGAGGGCTCTGAGTGCCGCCTCTGGCACGCGTGCCATAGGTTCACCCAGGGCTGTGGAGTCGGTAGATAAATGTTCCGACTCCGACTCCTCAGTTTTTTGTACTTCCAACTCCGACTCCCCGACTCCGACTCCTCTGTATTAATAAGCTAACAATCGGAGTTTACAAGTTTTTATAGCCTTAGCTGAATGACAGCAGTTTTTCCAATGGTTTACAGCTTCAGTCTTGAACTATTGACCCTCCATTCCCTTCACTTATACAAGTGTCTCTAGTCCTGCAAAAAACATATTTACTTAATCCCTTATCAG